GCCAGCAACGCCGGTAACGTCGATGCCGGAGGGGTAGCACCGAACAAGGCGCCCGGTGGCCCGGCGAATAAATCCCGAGGACGTGGTCACCGTAACCGGGGGAGAGGTGGGAAAGCATCGGCATCCGCAGCGGCATCTACATCGTGATCTCTGCTTCTTGTCCAAACTGATTTTCTAGGCGTTCTAAGGTGTTACAGAGCCCGAAAAAACCTCGAGGCATGGCTTTTACACATTTGGGAAACACGGGAATTTGGGTTTCTATTTTACACGAGCATTGGCAGACACCAACTTTGTATAGACGAAATGAGAAGACGGAGGGAAAGAGAGAGGGAGACACAGAGGCACAGAGGCACACACAAGAGAAAAAGAAAGAGACTTCTTCACTCCTACATGCTACATCCACTACCGCCCACCGCTTCCAGAATTTTTGAAAAACTTGCACGATTCAGGTTCTTATTGACCGTTGAGCGCTAGGAGAATTGGCTTGGTAACGGACTTGTCCTTTTGCTGGATGGAAAGTGATACCATGTGACCGGTGGGGAGGGAAGAAACGTTGCCAAGAACGGTTTACTCTGGACTACCTACTAGGTAAGGTACCTAGGTAAGAAGCAGAAGGCCCTCCCTCCGCATCGGTGATTTTACCACGATGCCGTGCCCGCTTTCTACTCCGATATACAGGTCTCACAGAGCGAATCCGTACGCAAATGTAAAAAGGGGGGCGCACGAGTGGTACTGTCGGGAGATGGGTCCGATCTGCAGACGCCGGTTCGGATGCAGCGTGCCACTGTACCAGAACCAAAAGTCACCATGAGTTGCGTGGTGTGCGATGCGTCGTGGTGCGCGGTTGACTTGCCTTACGTTGGACGGGTGCGGGGGAGAAGGAGGAGGAGGAGGAGTGGGCCCCAGGCCGCAGCAAGGTCTTATCGTTATCTGCAGATATCACGAGTCGGGTGGCAGTGGCACTGATAATGGCAATGGCAACCAACCTGAAGCACCAAAGGCGATGGTGGTGATGCTGATAAGGGGGCTGGCTGCCAGGCTGGCTGATGGATGTGCAGGTTGCTAGTTCATTGGCGATCGGTGCGATGACTCGTTTGCCCGGGGAAAGGTTGCTTGCTGCTTGGCTGCTCGATTTGGGATTGCCGCACATGCCGCCAGGGGTGGGATCACGACAACATTGACAGGCAACGAAGCGGCAAGCCAGATGGAGTAGGTCGTTCGGGATTTGCCTTGCCACGCTTGCCTACCTTAGTAAATGGGCGAGAGGTCGATTTCTCGGACGATGCCATTTATAGGAGCTGTTGGAGGCTGGATCCGGCGCGTTACAAAGCTGCCGCCCGTCGAGAGACGACGATAAGAGAGGCGGGTACTCTGTCAGTGCCAGCCTGTAGTGTAAAACAGGATTGGGGGTTCCCAAAGAAAAGAAAGGAAGACGAGCTGGGCGCTACGGTGACGGGAGAAGGATTCCCGGGATCAACCGAGGACCGGGCGAGTCGAGTGCCTAGGTACTGTTAGTGTCGACAATCGGCGTACAAGCCTGCGTAATTTGGACCCTGCCATCTATCCGCCTTTTCAAAGTTATCTTTGCCCATCCTGGACTCGAGCGAAGGAAACGTTGACGACCTTGTTGACCTCGACGTTCACTTGATGGGCACAAGGGGTTAGTTGGGTTCTCAGCCGCAGAGGCACACCGGGAAGGGGGGAAGGCTGGCTGCTAACACAAACAGTGCCTTGACAGTCGCAGACAAGGGATATGGTGATAAATCGAAGTGATGATGGCGCTTGGATGACCTGGCCTGGATGCCAGCTGTCAGCGGGCACCAGTATGTACTCGGGTCCAAACCCAATTCTTCGCATTGCAGGGACTGTTGTAAAGCCTGCGGTACAAGTCAACAAATCACCAAACAGACACCGCTGCGGCCCTGAAGCAAGGCAGAGAAGAGCAGAGAGACAAGCGGGACTGGGAACAGAAAATCAATGAGGCACAAGTCGGCGGAGGCAAGGCAAGAGTGAAAGTGGAAGTGACTTAGCAGAGCCGCCCGCCACCCCTTACCTACCCCGTCATTTCTGCCCCAGAACCCAGCGGTCATGCATGGGGTGGAGTTGAGGCCATTCTAAGGTCCGGGCTTGGTACGGAGTAGGGTCGCGGCGGTGGCTATTCCCCATCCAGGACCTTTTTGCATATTAATTAGAGGCGGCGACCCGGAGGACTTCCAGGACTTAGTCGTCAAGATGTGAGAGCCACTCCCGGTGGATTTGATTGCCTGGCCTCTCCGTATCGGGGCAAGTGTCTATATGAGTGCGAGGTGCAGTCCCGGGGCGCGCCCCATACATGATACATGCAGCTGGCGATGGCTTGCTCAAGTTGGCGAGTGGTAGCCTAGAGGCAGAAGAAGTTGAGCCTCGAAGTCTAGGTTGGGGTTGGTTGACTGTCGACCGTTGGGGTTGGAGTTTGGAGTCAGAGATGGAATCATATCGATTTGAGGATGATGATGGTGACTCTGACTCGGAAGGCAATCCGTGCCACCCCCTTAGCCTCTTTCTTTTTCGTTTTCCTTTCTTCTTTTCTGCATTTTTGGATCTTCTTTGTTGACATTTCTTGATACAGTACCTACGTTGATACAATCTGGTTAGCTGGGGGTATAGTCAATCGAGCTCAGGGAAGCAACACAAAGACTCTTGGTGATTGAACGAGGAGCATGCAGGAAGTATTTCAGGAGAGAAAAGTGGAAGAATGGGAGTCTTCACCCCACGACCGCTGTTACACAATGGAATGGAAAGGCCGGTGCTATGCATCTTGACGAACGGTGCAAGTGCAACCAGGAAGCAACCTGAAGAGAAGCAAAGCACGAGCAAGGCATGGTTAGGTACTTTGGCCATGTACTGGAGAACATCAGGGTGCTTGTATGTCACCATGGATGTCGCTACGTACTTGGTACACTTGCGATGGTGCCTAAGGAAATGGAAGGAACCTACCTTAACCTACTTCTACACGTTCACAACACTCACAACGCTCATCATCAGTCAATGGAAGACAGCAGTTCACTACGCAGTACAATGCCAATCTACCTTACCTTGCCTTAAGGTACCACGTTGAGGTACCACCAGCAACAACAACACCTGCAGCAACTTCAAACCCCAGCTCTGTTCCGTCCCATCCCATCCCATCCTGTTCCAGTCAACCTAACGGAACGATGCATGCACGGGTGTGTCTTGGTCCACCGCCCATCACAGATGCAGCCCCATCGAGCCCATCCATGCTCCCCCTGCCCCCTACTACGTTACCCACCCACGTATCCTACGGAGTACTGGCAAGTGCAACTGCCCCCCCATGCTGCGGCTGCTGGCTGCTGTTGGCCTGGCACTCCTCCCACGGATACTTCCACTGTCCAGGCTGTTAGCAGCACCTCATGCCGGGGCGGATGCGCTGCCGCTGCAGGACCCAGACCAGCCGGTGCCAGCTCCTCTCCTGCCCCCTACCTCTACCCTAGGTACCCTGTCGCTCCTCTCTCTGAGTCCACGTCCCTAGCATTGAGTGAGTCTCTCCAAGTCACTACCAAGCTCTGAATCTATACGCAGTCACTTCGTTGTTGTGTGCTTATCCACACACTCAGACAGCTCCGACGAGAGATCCATGTCATCGGCTGCTCAGTGTCTCTCCCTTCCCATCTCTCTTCCATCATCCTCTCCCGTACCTTACCTCCAAAGCTACTCTATTATCTCTCGCCCTCCCTCACCTTGTGTCTCTCTTCCTTTCTAATTACCCAGCAACTGCTCAGACAACAATCCCTTTGTCTGTGCCTACCTCAGCGTACCTCATTATCTACTTCTTCTTGTCCTCTTTGCATCATCGCCTCTGGCCCTTGCGCCTTATCGCCCTTGGCCCCCATTCTGACAACGCTAAATCTCCGTCCCTTCTCTCCAAAGTACTCACCACAACCTTTTCCCCATCATCACTCTTCAACACCTTCTCTCGCTCTCTTCGAGTCAGCATATCCCGTCTGATCTTTCTGCTGTGCCTGTTTCTTCTTCTGTGCCGAACTTAGCCTCCCCTGCCTCTTTGCTAGGTACGAACGCATCGACAAGTATACACCGCCTTACTTGCTCGCCTGAATTACAGTCCATTCTGCTGGCCCACCCAGGTGACTCGATGACGGAAGGGTACTTGTCGACGATCACGAGGCTCAACAACCATTGAGCGGATGACACCAGCGCCGATAACCTCCGACTCGACCACCACAGCACCGCAACTCCGCACATCGCCGCCCATTCTTCTCTAATTTCCTTCCTCTTCTTGAAATTCGGATAACCACACAAGCCGCGCATTTTGGAGCGGCCCGTTTGCGTTGTTGTTGTTGTTGTTGTTGTTGGAGGAGGACGTGCTTAGGAAGTCGCTTTCCCTGCTTGGCGAAAGCTTCCCCTCTGTCACCACAGCTTCTCGTTTCGACTTTCCTGCTCTGTATCGCACGCAACCGAGAGCCATGGTCCAAGGCAGCGCTTAACTTGTACATTTCGTCCTCGCCCTCATTCTACGGTTCTGCAGACATCCAGCCCGGCTCCGTAACGCCCTTGCCCTGCTTGTGCGATATCGCTTCTCACCATTTGCCGCCCGTCTCCACGTTGACTTTGTCGCCTTGCCCGTCGTTGCCTGCGTCGTTGCGCACCTTTCCAAAAGGGTATTGCCACAACTACTTTCTCTCAGCCCGCCCTACGAGTTCTCCTCCCCCGACCGGCCGACCCTTCTCTTGCTGGGCGCTCAACGACTGAGGGTATCGAGGTGTTTCACTCCCCTTGCAGTTGTCATGAAGGATGGATGAGCAGGTTCGGTACCACCCCAACTTCGATATCGCGAATACCCTCTTCCCCGCCGCCTAGAACTTCCTCTACGAATCTGCAACACCCAGCTCGTCATTGTCGTCCCGAAGCTTAGCCTACCCCGGCGGCTCTTCAGATCACTCTTGTCCTAGACTTGCCCTTGGGGCCGCAATCTGCCAGACAAGATGCATCAGCAAGCTCGGCCCGCCCCACGGGTCTCTTCCCCCGCTTCTGCGCCCCAGACGAATCCCACAAGAACGAACAATCCGAGAGAAGGAATGCTTGGTACACGCGAAAGAGCTAGCTCGGGAGCGTCTGGTCGCGATTCTGCCGCAGCGTCACCCACCATCGAGACGCCTCCAGGTTCCGTTTCGGCAGATGCCGTCAAGAAGTTGGATCAGATAATTCAGGTGTGTACTACGAGACGGAGGCCAAAAGGTGCCACAGCCAAGATCTGTCACTGACTTCAGCGCAGAACTTCCACACCAAAGCTGCATCACTGGTATTGCAATCGCGTTTGAACCTGAAGCCCATGTATGCGGCTCGTGGCTCTGGGAACAAAAAGCTGAACAAATGGGTGAGTACTGGCGTGCTTGCAATCTCTGGTATCGCTTGTAAAGCTTGGTACTGACGCGTGTGCCTCCTTAGTTTCAAATCGAGACGGAAGAATTCGACGACTTCAAAGAGGAGCTTCGTATATGGCGTAACTGCGGTAGCTTCGAGAACAAGCCTATGCCCCTCATCATCGAAACCTATCTCGATACATCACGTTTAACCCCTAGTCAGAGCCTAGTCATTGTGGACGAAAATGGTAAAAGGTGGGACGTGATGGAAGCTCTCAATTCATCCGATTCCAGCGATGACGGCCGTTCATTGCCCACAAAGAGGAATACGGAGGTGATACTAGAAAGATGGCGCATTGAACTCAAGACATTTCCCACATCAGACCCGGACGACTTTGGCCCAATACTGCCAACCATTTACAAAAAGAGCATCGTCTTCTTTCGGTCTCTCTTCGTTGCAACTAGGATTCTTCCTGCTTGGAAGTTCTCTCAAGCATCTGCAACAAAAGGCGTCCATCCTTCATTGGAACCTCGTTGTCGTGTCCGAACCGGCGAACTAGACACTGGCGGCATCGACCGGCTTAGGCATCCGTTGTACGATGGTCGCCCGGATGTCGTAACTGACTACGTTTTTGGCGACTTGGAGGTACCGGTTGGTCGCTTCTATGCATCAGTCACTTACAGAAACGAGTGTAACTTCAGAGTGGATGATTCAGAGGCATTGCTAAGCTCACGATTCATGGGTGTTGATGAGAACTTCTTTAAGCCGTCACTGCCCCAGCGGACATCAAGCACCCGACGAAACGACCCCGAGGTGGGCTCTCTTCCGTCTCACAGAAGGAGTAGGACTCTTGCAGATATGCACCAGACGTATGGCAGTCTCTCAACCTTTCACGGGGAGGGAGCCTTGGGCACTAGTCCTATATCAGCTCTCAAGGCTGTCAAGCCCCCTGGATCTGATACGAGCTCTCCGCCTGGGTCTGCTCTCACAAGCAATGAGCTGAACCCACCAAATTCTTTACCCGTCACTGGCCTCGCAACAAGGCCCTCGATGAAGGGCTTCAGCAGCAGTGGCCGACGTCCGTCCGTCTCATTCCAGCCATTCAAAGCTGGGTCACTGTCTGGATCCCCCGTCCCTCGAACTCTCGATTCCGAATCTCCCGCATCTCCCATCTCACGCGCGGCGGCCCTCAATGCACTTACACAACCTCGCAATCGGACGTCACTGACAGCAGGAATGCCTGCTACTCTCCGAGGTGGCCCTCCACCGGCCGAAACAGCCGTAGTAGGCTCGCCTCGGCCATCTTCGACAAGTCGGTACAGCAGCAGTTTTACCCATCGCAAAGGACGCTTATCATTTGGCGGCGCTAGTAAAGCTGGCGATGATGAGCAAGGCAGCAGCGGTCGACAAAGTCTATCCTCATCAGTGGCTCAGCCAGGATCAGGTCTCCTAGCAGAAGCGAATGCAGGCGGCAGCTCCGGATCGCTTCAAACAGATGACGATCAGATCTCGGAATTCTTGAAAGCGCTGGATAGCAAAAAGACTCTCAAGAGCTTCGAGTCAGGCAAGAAGGGCGAGGGCGCGACGAATCGGACGGTCGCACAGCTTTCCAGGTTCCATCTCATGAAGGAGTCGAACCAGGCGCTGACAGACTCGATGACCTCGTCAATGCAAATGCAGCGCTCCTCGAGCTCATCCAGTCGACAGCTATCCAATGTGCCAAGCATGGCCGCGCCAGCGTCAGTATCGGTTTCCTCCTCGCCCGGAAAGCCTCTCTCTCCTCACACCCCTCATACGCCTGCTGTCCCTTCACGGTTGAGCGAGAACTCGATCATCAACTACAACACAAGCCAGCCGCGAAGCGACCGCACCAATCCCAGTGCAGAAAATACACAGATGCCTAGAGAGGACACCATCACCCAGGATGGGACCACTGCCATTGACATACCCATCTCTCCCAGAATCGGCACTCATCCTAGACGATCTAGCTCGGTGGCACAGCAGAACAGGGCAATGGCCGACGATGAAGACGGAGACCTGGCTTTCGCCGCGAATCGCAGCATCAGCTTGGGTGCAGAGGATCGCGAGCCACCCACGCTCAGCATGCTGTTAGGAAGACAGACGGAAGCTGAGTCTGCGTCTCGCCGAGCAGCGGGCTCGCTGCAGCCGACAACAGACATGCCATCCTCAGGTTCGGCAGAGATGATGAGGCAGGGTTCGTCAGAAGGATCCAAACCCCCAGGTGGATTGATGGCAGTCGCGCCGTCCAGTTCGCCATTTGGCAGGCGTCGTTACGCTGGCATGGCATCCACGGGAGGACGAGGTCAGACGCCTCCTCAGTCGTCCAGGGGAAGCTTTACGGGGTCCATTGGACGGTACGGACGCGGCGAGAATGACTTGATGGATGAAGAGCCGCTCCTTTTCGATATGTCAGAAATGGACGCCCAGTCGCGGAGAAGTCTGGAAGAGGGCCGAGGCGGTGGCAACATTGGTTCTGGATCTGGCAGCCGAGCCGACTTTGAACCTCGCGGCATCAGTCGAAGGGGATGGTGAGCGAGGTGCTCTCAGTGATGATGAAGGACAGACAGCCTCTACTAGCAACATTGCTAAAGATGGCCTGGAAGTGAATCAGGCCCATCTCTTTTACTGGGTTGCACTTGGGCTGGATGACACGAGCGCTTTTTTTCTCTCTTTCTGTTTTTTTTTTTTCCTTCTCAATAGGCCTACAAGGCTCAGGAGGATCTGAGGGCAGGTCCGGCAGAAAGGTACCATCGAAACGGTCTTTCATTTTTGCTTCTTCTCTTGTCCCGTTTTCAAGATATATATCAACGGGTTCGAGAGATGGTTTCATGGCGTTGGATGGAATCGGAATCGTCAAGACAATCCCAGCGCCGGCAGAAACGGCGGGGAGCACCTTGGGGTACCAAGGACAAAGTACAGATACGATAGAGAATGCACAAAGACTGGCATGCATATACACATTGTTCCTGAGTCCCGAGTACTAGGCATCCGCGATTGCATGAGCTTAGGCTTGGAATATGAGGAGGATAGCGAAGACCCAGGGGTCCCAGACGTTTGGATGTGGCTTGACGTCGTTGCCGGTCTCGTTGGTTGGCGGGTTGGTTCCGGGTTGGGCTCCCCGCAGGCTGTGATGGTGTGGCGCACGCAAGACTGACGTTGTCTTGTATAATGGGGATTTGGTTCAATCTCTCATTATCCTGTTTTTCCTTCTCTCTTGTTCCTTTCTACAACCTTGATGCCTCTTATGACGAAGAGATGTGGTCACCAAGGTATTATTGTGATCTATCTCGGGGGCTACGTGATGATTGTCGGAAAGTGAAGAGTAACGACTGTAAGTGAAGACTAACATGATGCATGGGTATCTAAGGTAGTGTAGAAGAAGAGGGGTTTGTGGCTATTTTAGGCAGCGGGTTTGAAGATGCTTCATTGTAGACTAAAAAGAGGCCAAGGCAAAATTAAACGCAACGAGCCGCGGACCATGGTGGAGCAAGCGAGGACGATGACCCGAGGAGGCAGGTCGCAGGACTCTCGGGCTCGAAGACGGATCAGGATCCGTCAGAATTAATTTGAATCGAAGAAAGCCATCGTCGCAATTGGGCAGCGAAAGAAGAGGAGCCTACAAAGTCGTAGGTATCCGTATGGAAGGGCAACAAAAGAAGCAAAGGCCCACGCGGTTGGTTACGCATGCTTTTGGCCGTCTCTCCTCCACACGTGTGGCGGTGCAGCCATTGCCCATAGTGAATGGGTACTGTTTGTGAGTGTTTCTTGCCAGACCACGCGGGTGGCAGAGGAGCAAGTCCGCGTAATTCATGGGCGAAACGAGCTCAGCCCCCCCTGTTGGATTCTCCCGAGGTACCTACCCATGGAGTAACTTGAGAGCTAGGTGGTGATGACGACGGGCCCTCCAAGGCGCACTCTGGTAATAGTGGCACCGCAGCGCCTTACACTGAGTTGAGGCATGTCACTCTCTGGCTGTAATTGTATGCAATGGGTACATCCCCGCACATCAGGGAAGCTGAAGAAGAGAAGCTCACACTTGGGCTCGTGGTGGACGGGACTAGTGGTCCGGACCCTGTGACAGCCCATGGCGGCATGGCCACCTTCCAGAGCCCAGGTGCCAGATGCCAGCTGGAGGCGTGCCAGGTTTCCCTGTGACCTTCACTCCTACTACCCCCAAGTCTCAAGGTAATACCCGACCTCACCTGGCCTGCCTGAATACCTACTACGTAGTACCTCACCTTCCATTCCCTCCAGGTTCCATACCTTACCTTAGCGACGGATGCATGCTGCCGACTTTACCTTACATTAGGTATTAGTTGCTTACTTTATTTTCCACCAGAGGTAGAAGACGACGACTGTAAGATTCTGCCGGGTGTGCCTCAGCACTTACGCACTTACGTACCCGTCACTGATTACCTCAACCTTGGCGACCTTATCCATCACCTTCCTTTCCTTCGGGTTCACGCTTCGCCTCAGCACACACCTACAGTACACACCCGCGCGACATACCCACCTCATCGAGACGTCCCTCCCCAAACACCCACGACCTTCAACTCCGCCGACCCAGGCTCCCAAGAACCTCCAACCTTCACACGACTTGGCCAACCTTGAAGCGCACGCCTTTCACCCCGCCGTATACGCCTAACTCCATACTCAACATTGCAACCCATCGCATTGCATTCGCGCAGCCCGACGACAACTTGCACCTTGCCTGACGTAGTCCACCGCTTTGCCCGCTCCAGGCACCTTCTTGCCACAAAGCGCACCCACAATATCTCCAAACCACTCGAAACAAGACAGCTTCTTGATCTCACCCGTCACTATACATTTTCCGCAGCGGCTCACAGCTTTCTCCCAACATGTTTCGAGCTGCCGCAGCTGGTCCCTTTGACGAGGGCGTCGGTACGTGTGCAGCCTTGCGAGTCCAACAGCATCGCTGGCCAACTTCGCTAACCTACCCATCTTGCGTCATCTAGCCAAGGCCACCGACGAGAACCTGACATCCGAAGACTGGGGAGCTATCATCGAGGTCTGCGACCGCGTAGGCAGCGATGCAAATGGCCCCAAAGAGGTTGTACAGGCAATGATCAAGCGTCTCGCCCACCGCAATGCCAATGTCCAGCTCTATACCCTCGAAGTCAGTTGCACCCTTTCCTCCCCGGCTCATTGCTGCCGCACCTATCCCGGTTTATGAATTTGTCGCTGACCTTCCTCTTCTTCCTGCGCAACAGCTTGCGAATGCCCTCAGCCAGAACTGTGGCAAGAACATGCACCGCGAGCTCTCAAGCCGAGCCTTCACTGACGGCATGTTGAAACTCGCAAACGACCGCAATACCCACACTCAGGTCAAGGCCAAGATCCTCGAGCGCATGAAGGAGTGGTCCGACATGTTCAGCAAGGACCCTGATCTCGGCATCATGTACGACGCCTACTTCCGCCTCAAGCAGAACAACCCGACTTTGCAGGCCCCCTCAGCGCCCCAGAAGACTGGCCTAACCGACGTCGATCGTCAGAAGGAAGACGACGAGCTTCAGATGGCCTTGAAGCTGTCACTGCAAGAGGAGGAGAAGAAGAAGGCGCCTGCCGAGTCGAGCGCCGGTCCATCCTCTTCTGCCGCCGCCGCTGGATCCTCGACACACGCCGCTGCACAGCCCCAAGCTCACTCTACACCAGTACCTGCCGGCACGACAGCTGCCACCGTGTCAAGGGTGCGGGCTTTATACGATTTCGTTCCTTCCGAGCCGGGTGAACTCGAGTTCAAGAAGGGCGATGTAATTGCAGTCCTCGAGTCGGTCTACAAGGATTGGTGGCGGGGCTCGCTCAAGGGGAAGACGGGAATTTTCCCCCTCAACTATGTTGAGAAGCTCACAGATCCCACTCCCGATGAGTTGGCACGCGAGGCACAGATGGAAGCCGAGGTGTTTGCAGAGATCAAGAATGTCGAGAAGCTGCTCACACTTTTGAGCACGTCCAACACGGCGCCGAGAGAGGAGGATAACGAGGAGATATCGGTAGGTCCTACGAGTGCCACCTCAGCCCGACCCGGTACTAACGAGTCGCCGAACAGAAGCTTTACCACCAGACGCTAGCCATCCGGCCGAAGCTGATCAAGCTCATTGAGAAGTACTCCCAGAAGAAGGGTCAGAGATGCTCCACTCACTCGTCTATGCTGCTTATACTGACCAAAACATATAGATGACTTTACACAGCTCAATGAGAAGTTCATCAAGGCTCGCCGCGACTACGAGTCTCTTTTGGAATCATCCATGTCGCATCCTCCTCAGCCTAGTTACCACCAGTATGCCATGAGACCCGGTCCCGGCGGGTACCCAGGCGGACCGGGGGCGGGCTATCCTCCTCAAGGTCCTCCTCAAGGCCCTCCTCAGGGCCCTCCCCACCCACAGCAGCAGCAGGAGCAGAGATACTATACTCCAGCTCCCCAAGGTGAACTACCTTGATTGCCTTCTTCCAAGTGCACCAAGTTTAACTAGTTTGTACATAGAACAACCCCAATACCCTCAGTCCACGCCCTCGCCGAACTTCCAGCGTCCGGCACAGGCAACGCCTGCTCCTTTCTACGTAGCTGGTGCAGAGGTCCCTTCAGCGTCGTCTCACAACCAACCGCAACAGTATCCCCCACGTGACCAACGTATTCCATCCACGGGCAAGGCGCAGGTGCCGCCAATCAACACCTCTTCACCACCGCCTGCCAACACGTATTCCGCATATTCGGTGCCTCCCAACCAAGGAAGGCCACAGAGCACTTACGGCCCTCAGGAGTTAGCAACCTCTGTCTACGACTCGCCCATTGCTACCCATAACCCGAGCTCTGCTGCAACCTACACATCCTCCGTATATTCTCAAGACGATTACAACAACGGCAGCCCCGTTGTAGGCAACTCGACTGTTCCAGCACCTTCATCCTTCCAACCATCGGCACCACCGGCTGGGCAGCCCTCACAACCACTTCAACAGCCGCCGCAACAACACCAGCAGCCACAGTACCAGAGCTACCAGCCGCCAGGAGCTCAGGGGCAGGATAACTACGTCAGTGCCCCTACTCAGGCACCGCCGCCTGTGCCGACTGGAGCGGCCCCGCCTATCCCTGGTGTCGGTCGATCTGAAGTGATGACGCCGCCGCCCCTGCAACCTGGCGGCGCGGCCTACGATGCTAGAAACAGCCTTCCAAGCCAGGGACCATCACAGCCACAGTACAGGGCATATGTTCCGCCTGGCGGTGGTGCCGATGGGCCGAGCGCACCGCCCGCTGCGGATTACTATCGACAAAGTGGCGTTTACTAGACGCGGAGGATTGGGCAGTCGCGGTCTTGACATCAAGTAGATGAGGTGGTCAGTAGTTTGGTCGGAGGCCATCCTATTGAGCGGGGTACATTCGATATTTTTAATGACTTTTATTGACTGTGTCTGGGAGGTATCTTGGGCATTGCAGGCCGCCCCTCGGCCGTGCAAAGTTGTGTTGTGTAGCAATCAGTCAATCGTATTGGTTGAATTCAGGATGGCGACGGTTTACT